GCAGGTGCAGCACTTTGTGAACCTCCATGTGCAGATTTCGTGGCAGGCACAGCACTTTGTGCACCTCCATGTGCAGATTTCGTGACAGGCGCAGCACTTTGTGAACCTCCATGGGCAGATTTCGTGGCAGGCACAGCATCTGCGGAGCTGGAAGCTGAGAACTGGCGACTTTGTAGTGCAACTTTAGTACGCAGAGCAATCTGTAGAGCTGGAAGCTGAGAGCTGGCGACTTTCTAGTACAACTCTAGTACGCGGAGCAATCTGTAGAGCTGGAAGCTGAGAACTGGCGACTTTCTAGTACAACTCTAGTACGCGGAGCAATCTGTAGAGCTGGAAGCTGAGAATTGGCGACCTTCTAGTACAACTTTAGTATGTGGAGCAATCTGTAGAGCTGGAAGCTGAGAACTGGCGACTTTGTAGTACAACTTTAGTACGCGGAGTATCTGGCGAGCTGGACGATGAGAACTGGCCACTTTGTAGTACAAGTGTAGTACGCGGAGGAGTCATCTCTCGCTGCTGAGTCAGCTCTCGCTGCTGTGAGTCATCTCTCGCGACTGAGTCATCTCTCGCTGCTCAATAATCTCTCGCTGCTGAGTCAGCTCTCGCTATAGCCATCTCTCGCTGCTGAGTCATCTCTCGCGGCGTGCAGGTTTGGCACAGTTCATACTGATAGGATTTGGTTGCCTTTATGCAGGACAGGACATTCAACTGCTGGTCAATACACCACTCATCATACACCACTCAGCATACACCACTCATCATACACCACTCGTCATACACCCCTCTTGTCGTGGCAAAGATACAACCCAGTACGCTGTTGCAAGCTGCTGATCCTGCAGGGGGCACACACCTTACACACGTGGAATCCCGTGGGTCAAAAGTCCGGAGCGCGTGCGTTTGACTGGAGGACGCGCATGTTGGAGAGAACGTGGACACTCCTATAGGTCAATTTGTTCTTATAGGAAACTTCCGCCGCCGGCTTGCCCGGGAACTACTTGTAATGTTTGGACGTTTGTGTGGGGCCGAAACAATCACCGCAGCTTGCAGCAACTGCTGCAGCCAGGCGCCAGTCGAGGCCAATGTGCCAGAAGCCTAGGCCTAGTCATTGGATGAACTCAGCAGAGGCAGTGTGTCCCTCAGGGCCTTGCTGCCTTGCCTAAGCGGTTTCTCATGCGTAGGCTCAGGGGAGGGGCTGCGTGTAAATCTCACAGCCCAAGGTGATCCGGACTCCCTGGTTGAAGAAACGTTATATATCTACAAATGCATTAATAGACGAAATATACCAGGACCCTCCAAAGGGTGTCCAATGGACTACCCCACACTACCTATAGGCTTCCATTGGGCACCCCTTAGAGGGTCCTGGTATGGAATACATTAGAAACCGATGAGAAGGCGGAATTGAACACCGTGATTTTTCTCAGTCTCGTGGCCCCTCCTGTCGACTTCCTCGCTTTTCAGGTGTGTGTTTCACTGGTGGATCCGTTTCAAACTGACACAGTTTGTGAGGTTGAAACTGGCTGATTTTGGCTTGGCGTGCAGCTTTCAGCCCGGAGAGGCGCCACCGGGCCTCTCCCAGGTTTCGTTCCGAGGGTTGGCCTGGGCGGAGGTCGGTCTGGGCGGTCTGGCTTCGAGTAGGTCTCGAAAGTAGTTCAGGTGTTGAGGCCGGGAGGTTTGGGGCATGCTGTAGCCGCACTCACCGAAAGCGCACCTGTTCGCTTCGACTTTATCCTGCCTTAGTTTGCCCCCAACACTGGCCGTTTGCGCCGAACATGCTGCACACGAACGTCCTGGGAGGTACTGAGCAGCAAAGTGGGCACCGTCTTGTACTGCTCACCGCAGGTGGGGTGCAAAGCCGGGTCAGACTCCCACTACGGTGGGGGCGGGGCCAGGGGACCCCACCGCAACAGTTCCTATACTCCTCCACAAGAGGTGCCTAACACAGTTGAATTCAGTGCACAACGTGGCTACCCACCACGTCCAACACCTTCTTTGTTTCTTTGGGCTTTGCAGATTCCATTGTTCCCCCGCGTGCCATTTCAACCGGCCTCGCGGCCATTTCTTTTTCCTCCTCACCGTCACCGGAACGCCCCGCCCTCAGCTCGCAGGTGCTGGGTGGCGTGTACGACAGCTCTGCAGACCTCTGGAGTTGTGGGGTGATCATGTATGCTCGGAGCGCCTGGCGAATCACTGCTGTGTCGGTCGAACTCACTGCGGGGTTCGGAGATGTGGGTGGTGGTGTCCCGAAACAACGGGAGGTGGAGAGTGACCGGACCATAGGACCCGTAGGACCCGTAGCCTGGGGTACCCAACTGGGATAGTCGAACAGAGCCCAGTTCGTCCACCTCTGCTTGGCCATCCCGAGCCCAGGAGCGTTTTTGTTTTTTGTGTTTGGGGTGGGTCGGCGCCCAGGTACTCCGTCCACTGATACCATTCCTGGTTGGGTGCTTGCTTCGCTTATATATAGATGTGGGACACGTCGCTTCAACCGTCATTTCAGCATGTTTCAGCAAGAGCGATGGAAGGCATGTCATGGACTTCAGACTGGGAGGTCATGATGAAAGAGTGGAGGTCCATTCGATATGACCCAGTTGGAGCTGTACAGTCATTTGGTGTTTTGATGAGTTCAACGGGATGTCCCAAGGCTGTATACACTTATATATATATATACATACGTTATTACAAAACAAATATATATATATATAAATAATATGTATAATATATATATATATTATATGTATATATAACAGTTGTATATATATATAAGCTGTTTACACACACACACACACACGCACTTATACATACATATATATATATATATCATGTCCAACACCCAAATGTTCGACCCAACATTTCCCTCCACGTCCGCTTAGATGCTCTTGGGTCACGAGTTGCCCTTCAGCGGCAAGAATGATGCGGAGGCACGTGTGGAAGTGTTCTACCACAGCTCCGGAATAGGATGCACCCCTCCGAAAAGCCAGGGAACAGGCCCCCACACAGCGTGCGTTTGCGACATGTGTTGTTTAAAAACACGTGTTGGTGTTAGTTTTGAAAGTCATTCGAGGCCAAGGGCGACGAAAGGTTATTTCCACGAGTTTCAAGGGAGGAAGACACTTCTTTCAACAGCGTGTTCGCATGATCTTCAAACGCGTGTGTGCATGTGGTATCATCTTCCAAGAATATCCAACACACTGTCACTGACCAGATCAAAATTCCCAAAGCGCAAGGGAATTCCGGTCCAAGCACACAACGAAGAAGACAGAGGTTTGCCCGTATTTGGTATAACCAACAGCTGTGATTCAAAATGCACATGTAAAGGTGCCAAGTTTCACGCCTATTGCGACACCGGACCAACTCTTCGTGGGACCAAAAGCGCGCGATGACTCGAAGGCGGCTCCGCTGGAGCTCCGATGAAGCTGAGCCATGCCACTGAAGCACTCGGCTCCCTTCAAGCACTGATCCGCCCCGTAGACCGAACAAACCTCTCATGGGGGGTTTCCCCATGGTGCCATTTGATGGTTCAATTCTCTTTTGGCTGTCAGGCCAAGCCATGTGTCAGGAAGCTTAGTTGGACGACTTTCTGACATCGCCGTGACGCTCTTGGGGCAGGGTTCCCACCTTGTTCACTGGCCAATCCCGAAAACCACCATCGTCCCCACCTTCCAGGTGGCCAAAAGCGTCCGCAAGGGCAACTACGCCTTCAGCGATCCCGTGTGGCTCTCCGTGCGACTTGGTTGCCCTTCGAGTCGCGACGACCTGGACGACCCACCACCCCCACGCCGGCACGCCGGTCCCAACGAAAGGAAGGAGCCCAAATCTGTTTGAGGAGTGTCCGGTCCAAACAGCCAAGTGGGGAGACCGTTGATTTTTTTGTCCTCCTCCTCATGTCTTGAAGCCATTTTTCTGTGAAATGCACAGGACAGTGTGCACGCTGATTGAATGGCTTGAAGGTGGAGACCTGGCAACCTTGGATTTGAAGATGCTACACATGGCCAGAGTCCTTGAACGGTCTATTCTTGCAGACGCAGACGCAGTAGAAAGATCTAGGACCAAAACACTTATACATCTTATACCCACACTCTTGGGAGGCGAATCTTGGCGATCTGCATTTTTGTATCACCCATGTCACCCTCATTTAGTCCCTGACTCCCAGGACGTGGAGTCAACATGAGTCAACCAAGGAAGTCGCCCTCGGAGTTATACTGTATAGTATATATTATATATGTATATATATATATATATATGCATATAAGTCATTTGTTCAAAGAAAGGCCACTTTCGAGTCCGAGATCCTCAAAACTGGCTTCCCCTGAAGGTGTCTGGCAAACAAGTAAACACCACCACATTTCTGCATCCGATTGGAGAATCCCAACTCCCACCCCCCAAAAGACAATCTACTATATAGCAGGGTGTGTTTTCGAACAGGGAGACGACCTCCCACTCCCAGTTTGGCCCCCTCTAGAAGGTTTGGGACCACCCTCCACCCCAGTTTGGCGTAGGTGGACCATGTCAGGAAGTCTATTTCTGTTCATTTTCCGTGGGAAAACCCAGGGTTGGCGCCGCCCACAGCCACAGAATGCCGGACCTCAAATGGGAAGGGTTTGCGTCGGGTCCGGGCCCTTGGTCCGACTCCTGCCATTGAGGGACCAAGGATTCTTAGGGCAGTTGAAGACCATTAAAAACACTGGCCACACATACTTAGGCCACCTAAGTTGCTTGGACAATACCAGGGTCCTGCAATTGATTGGGAGAATATCCAGAATCCCGCACCCCCCCAGAAAAACCAAGAACTAAAAGAAAAGTATAACATCCGAGTTGTTGGTGTTTTCTGGGGGTGCGGGAGGACCCGGTCCGAGTCCTTTTTCGGTCCGGTTCTCCTTGACTTCCGTCCGGTCCGCGGTCCGCACGGATCGGAATGCGTTCGGACGCTCGGAGTGGCGTGGCTGAGGTCCGAGGACGGCAAAGACCTCATCCGGAAGACGCTGAAGTTCCAGCCCTTCGATCGCGCCACCGCCTCACAGGCGGAAGCACAGACCGTCACAGACCTCGGAAACACCGGACCGTTGACGTGACCCTCCGTGACCCTTCCGGAAGGATAGGAAGGGGAGAAAAAACACAGCAGAATCCAAGGTAACAACAAACAGACCCAAGCTAATCCAAGCTACTACATGCTACCCCATACCAGAACTGGACACAAAAGATTTGATCTTCAGACCCTAGGAGCTAGCGGAAGAGCAGCATCATCTTGGGAGGCGGCATACGTATATGAAACACAGATGACAGGTCTCTTGAGAATCTGAGGTTAGGACTGAACTTCACCTTGAGCTCCATCCACTCAGGGAACCTTCGTGGATCTTTTTGCACCAAAACCTGCCTCCGCGGACGTTTGGCACCATCAGCGAACGACCGGGGTGGTCCGGGCTCCACTCGGCAGGCGCGGCAGCATGTGTGGTTCAGCTTTGCCGCCCCTGAGCTGCGGAGCGCTTGTGCATTGAGGGCCTCAGTGCTGTCAGTGGCTGGGAAGAATCGGGATGGAAGGGGGAGAAAGGACGCTACTAGGAGCAAAGGGCATCGCTACTAGGAGCAAGGACGCTACTAGGGGCTCCTGGCCTTACTACTAGGAACAAGGACGCTACTAGGAGCTTTTTCCCCGGTGGGAATGGGGTGAAGCTCCTGAGAGTGAAGGGATGCCGCATCATGGAAGATCCAGCACAACGGAGGAGTCTTCGCTCATCTTGGTTTTGGAGGGTAGTTGCTGGAAACCCGATCAAATGCGGACAAGACAACAGGAATTGAACCACAAAGTGGAGGCACGGAGCGGCCCTCTCTGACACCTGACTTTCTCTCAGCAAGGCCCACCTGGACAGATCAATTTTTAGATCCTCAGCCTAAGCCGAAGCGTTGATGAATAGGCCTGCTACAGGTGCCCAATTCACAACAATTACTCCCTGGTGCGGTTTCCAAACTGAACATGCAACAAAACATTGTTGTCTTGTAACACTGTTCCTGGAAGAGGTTCGATTCATCAGACCATTTCACCCGTGCGAAGCTTCACAGTGAATCAATTCAGGTACCAGTTCTGATGACACAGACCCCCAGTTCTGATAGATTTCAGTAAAACCCCCCATTGTAAATGTAAGTTGGACATCGTGCCACGGTCATCGTAAGGGGAGCCGACCACTCCGACCGACTGGGTGGGGCTCCTCGACACCTCGACACTCCGACCTCGAGGATTTGCTGCGCTTCTCGGCGCGGAGCGCCTTCCAGCGGGCGCGGGACCGCGGCGCCGCGGGGTCGGTGCAGAAGGGGGGCGAGTCACGTGAGGGGTGGGAAGGATAGCATTTGGAAGGCTGGAGACATATGATTGTAATATAGACATGTAGACGTTGGGCCTTCAGGTGCATGGATCACATATGGCAGTTGGATGCATGTGGTATATTTTGGACGAGTGTTTTGCAACAGCTACATATGATCTTACTGTTTGATACCTACATATGATCTTACTGTTTGATACCGTTTGGTTTGGCAAAGCTTTTTGGATTATTTCAGAACCTTAGCCAGTTTGGAAGGAGCCAATCTTTTCACCGCAGTCGGACATTTCACCAGCATGTCCAGGCTGCCTTGCGAGCGGTGGCGATGCAGCTGAGCCAGGAGGAGGTGGAGCCCTTGTGGCGCGACTTCTCAGCAGCTTGGCTGACGATCCCGACCGATCTTCGTGGGTTTTTCTTCATTCCGTTCATGCCATGGATTCTTTTTTTTTCTCAATCTTCTTTTTTTGAACTGTTATTTTTTTTGTGGGCTGGAGTTGTGAAAGTGGAAGAATACTGTAAGGGTTTTTCGAAGCACAGGTCATCCTTGCAAATGTCCAGGGTGGTGAACGTTGATTGTTAATGAAGAGCACTGGAGGAGTTGCTCCTAGTTGTTTTGAATTTCGTGAGAGGCTGCCGGGTTCACTGCGTATCACTTGTCACTGTGTGCCGTTTTGGGACTGCAGGACGTTTCATGGGAAGGACCCTGGTGTCGAAGAAGTGGCCTTTCCCCCGACCAACTGTAATAGGAACGTGCATGCCAGGACCTTACTGATTTGCTTGTAGTGAAAATCTCTATGTCATATATTTCTATTTGTTTGGCATTTGTCCTTCCCTTTAAACTTGTTCTCTCTCCCTCTCTCTCTCTCTCTCTCGCTATTGGTGTCCATCCACCTCCTCTCGGTGGAAGAAAACCAACCTTTCCTTCTTAGGAAAGCTCAGAAAACCAATGAGACGTGGTTGAACTCACGGGCGTTTTCAAGCGTCGTCTTAAGATAAAGGAGGAGAGGTCTTCCCGTCACTTTCCCCAGTTTTCTTTGCACACTGAGCTGTGAAACCACATGAAACCATAACCCCCACCTCCATGGTTTTCCAAACGGTGTTCCTTGCAGCTCACGATCTTTCTCGCTGCGTGTTTCTTTCTCCTATTGGTTTTGGTACCATCGCCTCCCCCTTTGATTTTTTAAAACATTCTTCTCTTCTTCCACGCTCGTTTTGAGCGTCTTCACTTCGATCCGCGCTTTTTTCCCACCCTTTCGGTTGGCCCCCTGGGCGGCCCCCCCCCCCGATGCCAGGATCGCCAGCCCCATCGCCAGCCCAGTCGCCGCTCGCGGACTCGCCAGGCACTGGACGTGAAGGGCTGTGGCCTCGTAGGAGCTGCGGAGCTCCAGGAGCGTCCGGAGGGGACGTCCGGAGGGAACGAGCTGCGGACGCGGGAGTTTCGCAGCGCGTTTCGCCATGCGAAGCCTGCCTTGAAATTGAAGGTGCAGCGGAATCTGGCTCTGAGACAGAGAGTGGTTTGAAGATGAGCCATCAGCCATCAACTATTAGCTATTGACTTTTGGATCTCCTAGCTTCTCATCACTTCTCACTTCAGCTTGACAAGCTGCCATAGGCCATAGGCTTCTTCCTTTGATCGTTCTCATGCGGCCGAAGGAGTTGCTGCAATCTGGCACGCTCGATGCTGTTGAAGAAGACCTGTGGAAGGTTGGGGCGGAATTGGCCAAGATTGCTGGATTTTCACGAAAGCTTGCTGCCTGGGAATCCGATTCTTTCGGAATTGGGCAAGCCGCTGCTTTTTGCGGCGGATGGCCCACACCCAGCGGAATCATCATACGCTGAGCCCACTTGGATCGGCTGCGCAGCTGTTCTGACTCAAAGCCAGCCTCACGAGGCCAGTCTGGTGGTCTGACCCCAGACCCAAGACTTCAAGTGGATGGCTACAACGAAGGTTTAAGTGTGCCAATTGGATCCAATTGGGTTTAATACATCGTGGTGGAGTTCGGATCTGAAAGGGTTGATGGCTGATGGCCAAGGCTTTCTGCAGAACTGTAGGGTACCATTTTCATCATTGCCCGGCCTTCACCGCGCAGGAGCTGCAAGTAGCAGTCGTGTAGTCAGCCGGGTGCATTGTACACAATCAACCCTGGCTCTTTAGAGCAAACACAATAATAGATCCACCACACAGCAACCTACATATACACCTCTACCAGCAGCGAACTACTAACTGCTTGGAACCATGCTGCACTGCGGGGGGCAGACTTGTGGACCGCTTCTAGACATAAAACTAAGTCACTAAGAACCAAGAGAGGTTAAGTGACCTGAACTAGCACCCAACTGCGGTACCCAACTGGGATAGTCGAGTCTAAGTCGGGTTCTTCAACCTCTGGAATGGCAGCGTGGGGGGGGTGAGCTGAGCTGGTGACCACTGCTGACCACCTCATCGGGCATCTCGACTGTCCACGTCGACCTCTCCAGCCTCCGGCCATGACGTCCGCCGTTTGAGCGAGACCGGACGGTTCTCGCCTCAGAGAGTTGAGAGTTGGGACGGTTCTCGCCTCAAAGACACCGAAAAGACCTCAGTTTAAAGATTTCCACTGATGTCACTTTTTGTCATGACACCTTTTCACGATCGCAGAGCGCTCTTGAGCTGGTTCAAAAGTCCGTCCTACCGACTTTGGTAGCGGAGCCCCGGCCGTCCGGGGTTCCTGCTTTCGCCATTGGCCGCCTGGCGCCTTCGGCGCCGCCCGGCGCGATCCCGGGCCCGCTGCGCTGCCCGCGCTGCTTCGCTCTCGTCGCCGCCACGACGACGATCCTTTTTTGCTGTCTCACAAATTTGGCCATTTTGGTCCTGTGCATTTGTTCTTCGGCTCCGAGGGCACCTGTGAAAGCAGCCAATTTTGCGCCCGTGAAAGCCCCCGAGTACACGACCCTGGAGGTGATTGACCTGCACTCCATCTTCCTGAATCAGACGCTGACCATTGACATCTCCCTGAATTTGCAGGACTACCCGATTCAGGACACCTTCACGTACCGGGACTTTGCCCGTGATCTGTTCACGATGGCCCAGCCGCTCCTTGGCATACCTTTGGCTGAGTTTCGTCGCGACGTACCACCTGGTTGGGCTCCGAACCTTCCCGACTACAGCTTGAAGTCCTATTTCGACAAACTCCGCCTCTGGTATAGACTCTACCAAGGTCCCGACGAACAGGTAGGTCCTCTACTTGCAGGACGTCTTCAAGGACGAGCCCAAAAGATTGCCATGGGTCTCAAACTGGTTCGCCCTGACGGAACCTACGATGTGGGAGACAGTGCTCTCGTTCGGCTATCCACGGACGAAGTTCGAGACCCCATGGACCCGAACGTCATCCTGCAGCACGCAATCCCAAGTGGAGTTCAAGCTCTCGCGAACGCCCTCCGTGAGACCTTCGGTCAGTCTGACCAGGAGTTGGCTACCCACAGTTTGGAGCAATTCTTCCTCTTCAAACGGGGTAAGCTTTCGATGCACGAATATGCATCAGAATGGGAGCTTCGCTACGAGTCTGCTCAGCGCCACTCAGGCTTGGAGATCAACGACGTCGCCAAGAGCTTCCTATTTTTCCAAAGTTCTGGATTGCCCAACAAGTTCATTGAGGATGTCAAGATCCAGATCCAAGGCGACATGTCTCGTTTCGAGGAAGCTAAGCGCCTGACCTTGCGCCTGAGCAACCGGAGTGACCAGCATGCTCTGTCCCAGGACCTGTATACCGATCAGGCCGCCGAGTTCTTCTCCACGCCATCCTCGTCATGGAACACCATGGACTATGACACCTACTATGACGACTGGTCATGGCAAGATGACCCCTGGCAAGCCTATCCAGAAGTGGACCCCTGGACCGGCTATGCAGAGGATGAATGGTGGCAAGAAGATGATTCCTGGTCGCCTACGGCATCAGAATGGCACACCCCTGAGGAGTATGTCATCCATGACGACCAGCATGAGACAGAGCAAGCTGCTGAAGCCCCTGAGACCTACTATGAGGACGAGGACTACTACCAGCAGAAGAGTGGCTGTCATGTCTGTGGCAGTCGATGGCACATGGCCGCACAGTGTCCCGTCAGAGACAAAGGAAAAGGCGGCTATGGAGGAGGAAAATCCTCCTGGAGGCCAAAAGGCAAAGGCAAAGGAAAAGGAAAGAAAGGCAAGGGCAAAAGCAAGTCATTCAAGGGCAAAGGCAAGTTCAAAGGTGGCAATAAGGGCTACTTCAACGACATTGACTACAGTGCCCAACGAAGTCAACCTGAACAAGGACTTTCTCGGAGTCCTCCAGCTTCATCATCTTTTACCACTGAGGTGAAGCCCATCCATATGACACCACCGAGGATTGGAGAGTTGCTTCCTTGGCAAGAGAAGAAAGTGACCTTTGCCGAAGATCAAGAAGATGAAGAAGCTCCAGCTCCATCTGAGCCAGTTCGCAAGCAACTTGCTTTTGCCACCCATCTTCATGCAAGCTCTGAGGTCTACCACATGGTGAAAGGCATCAAACGCCGTGGTTTGCTGATTGACCCTGGTGCTGCCGCAGGTTTGGTTGGCAGCGAGACCCTTCGTGACCTACTAGCCAGCTGCTACCAGGACAAGCAGAAGGCAGTGACATGGTCTGCATCAGATGCCACTATTACCGGCATCTCAGGTCAGCCAGACAAAGCTCTTGGACGAGTTCATCTGAAGCTGCCTTTCAAGAACATGGAAGCCACCTACACCGCCGATGTCATTGGCAAAGAAGGTAGCCGCTGTCCCGCTCTGGTTGGCAACCCTGCCTTGTGCGCGATGTACGCCTCACTGCACTCACGATGGTTCACCAACGATGATGGACTTCTGGTTGCCTGGGACACCTCCAAAAGCGAGCATCCGCAGATGAACCTCTTCCGAGTTCTTCTCACTGACAGTGGTCACTACCTGCTGCCTTTGGATGAAGATGCTGGCATCTGCGATCAGCAACCTGAAGCCTTTCACTTCATCAAGCACCTCTCTGACGTCTCCCATCGTGCATGGCCAGATCATGCATACACCTTTTGGCAGAACGTGACTGCCCAAGGACCGGAACGTCAGTGGAGCACTCATGGGACACGAGTTCGATCTCTTCAAGATGATCACCCGCTGACTAGTCTCATGAGTGAGCAGAACAAGAACCACGACACTGATACTTCATGTTCCACGTCACCGATCAAGGACCACGACACATCAACATTACCTATCACATCATCCACCTCAGACATCACTTCCACTGGAGGAGTTGAGGCTGCAGACAATCTCTACCAATGTGATGACGCTCATAAGGAGCACAAGTGCGAATGTTGCCAAAGTCACAACACTCCAAGGTCCACGACACCTGAACAGGTCACATCATGTTCCACAACAGCCACCTCATGTTCCACAACACCTGGAGGAGTTGAGGCTGCAGACAAGGACTACCAAGAGAGGAAAGACAGTGTTGTGACATCTCAGCTGATGGCCACAAATCTGAGTGAACTGCCACTGTACGTTGATGACTCTGTTCCACCTCACCTCTCACAAGAAGATCAGCAGAAGCTCAAGAAGGACTACAAGGCCATGCCAGAGGAGTTCTACCGCCACTCCAATCGCAGAGTCGTGACGCCAGACACCTTCCCTGCATGGTTCAAGGAGGCCAAGCGACATGGAGTCAAGTGGCAGATTTGGGAGCTCTTCTCCGGCTCTGGACGATTCTCTCTCCTGTGCACTTTGGCTGGTCTGATGGCTGGTTTTCCTGTCGACTTCCGCTATGGCTGGGACATTGGCAATCCAGCACATCAAGACATGCTTTGGAGCGCCTACACCACCTTCGAGCCTGAAGTGATCTTTGGCTCTCCTCGTTGCAAGTTCTGGAGCATAGCCGCATCGAGACGAGATCGACATCAACTTCTACAAGATCGAGAGAAGGACAGATCAGCTCTGGTCTTTCTTCAACGCCTGTATGCTGAACAGGTGAAGAAGTCTCGAGGCTACCTCCTGGAACAGCCATTGTCTTCAGCTATGTGGGAAGAGAGCGTGATGGCAGAGAATAAGAAGTTCCCTGGATGGCGAAAACATCGCCGCACGGATCAGTGTGCATTTGGAGCAGTTGATGAGCTTCGGAAGCCAGTGTTGAAAGCCACCGGCATTGAGGCGAACTTCAAGCTACGCCTCAGCCTTCGTCGATGCAATGGACACAATGGAATGCCCCATGCACCTCTACAAGGTCAACATCAAGGCAAGAATCGCACTGCTATGGCAGCTGTCTACCCGACTCGCTTCTGCAAGGCCCTTATCCAGGACATCATTCAATGGTTTCAGAAGCGCAACACTCTGCACATGCGTTTGGTTGACTCATGGACCTATCACCAAGTCCTCTACAAGTGCGAGCGTTGCAAGTTCGGCAGAGCTGCCACAGCTGATATGGAGCATTCATTCATTCCGGGAGAATGTCGTCATGGTCGCATGTTCAAGGAACCTTCAGCAGCTCCTTCGGCCGCCTCAAGTCCCACAGCTGACTTTCAACGAGGCATTCGAGCACATGGAGGCATGAGTCAGGTTGAGATACAAGTTCCTGACTCTATGGAGTTCACCGCTGAAGACAAGCTCTACCTGAAAGGCCTGCTGTGTCAATTGGTGAACGACTCCATGACCATCTTTGACGAAGTCACCGACGGCAACTACTCCCAAAGGATTGAAGATCCCATCCTGATGACGATTGTGCGCTCATGCCTTCGCAAGATTCTCTATGTCCACGGAGTGTACATCATCCTGCATCCTTTTGCCAAAGCATTTCCGGAACCAAAACTGCGAGCTGAACTTTGTCCACTGCGACTGATCTGTCGAGGCACCTACAAGTCCTGGACAGTTCATCCACTTGAAGATCATCGTGAAATGTCACCAGCTCAGCAGAGAGAAGCCATTGAGGAGCCTGACTGGATGATTACCTTCTTTGGCGATGTTCGGGAACCCACTTCGACAAGAAGGTCATCTCCAGCCACGCCTGCTCCAGTCACTCCAGCTCCTGGCACTCCAATGCCTGGTACACCAGCACCCTTGATGCCTGTACCTGCAACTCCGATGCCACCTGCTGAAGAGACTTCTCAAGCTTTGGTTCCTGTGGATGACGCACCACTACAAGTGGCTCCATATGAAGGAATTTCAGCTGAAGCTGCCAATGCTCGAGCTATCAAACCTCTCTATAGTGTACGACGAGTTCTGCAGAAGCTTCCCTCGATAGCGGCAAGCGATCCGACTCAGGCCAAACGACTTCTACTTGGTCTACACGAGAAGATGTGGCATGCAACGGCTGCTGACTTCACGAGCCTACTTCAACGAGCAGGCATGCCGCAAGCCGTGTTGGACCTGATTGGAGAAGCTGTTGCTTCCTGTGCCGTGTGCCGCCGATACTCCAGGCTTCCAAGCAAGCCAAAGAGCAAAGCTACCCTGGCAGCACAGTTCAATGATGAAGTTGAGATGGACATCTACTTTCTTTGGGGCAAGGCTTTTGTTCTTTTGATCGACGTGGCCACACGCTACAAGGTAGCTTTCGAGACCCCAACTCGATCTCTTGATGATCTTCTTCGAGGCATGCTTGCTCACTGGATCAGGTACTTCGGACCAATGCGCATGCTCACCTCAGATCAAGAGACTTCGTTGATGGGTCCTGCTGCCGCCATTGAGTTTGAACGCCTGGCCATTTGTCGCAACCCCAAAGGCACCACTCAAGGAGAAGCTGCCAAGCAACACACTGGCACAGGTCTGGCAGAACGACACATCGGTTTGATCAAGCTCACCATGGAGAAGGTCAAAGCAGAGCTCGATAGACAAGGACTCACCATGGAAGATGCGGACATTGCTGCTGAGTCCGCAATGTGCCAGAACCTCCTCATGACCTACGGTGGATATACGCCCTGCGTGGCAGTGTTTGGAGTTCTTCCTCGCTCATTTTATGAGTTTGAGTCGACCACCTTGACTGCGGTTGATGGAGCTCGAGAACGTGATCCCTACATCTTCGAATCTGCAATGAGATTGCGTCAAGTTTCTCTGGCCGCAGTTCAGCAGGCCATAGCCGAAGATAGAGTTGCACGAGCCTCTCACAGCCGACCTCAGAAGGTAGACACCTCCGAGCTGACTCCTGGCACATCCATGGTGGAAATTCATCGAGGAGAAAGTTGGCGAGGCCCTGCAGTGCTGTTGGAAGTCAATGAGAATGAGGGCACCGCAATCGTTCGACATCAAGGAAAGCCATATCTGCTTCCTTTGAGATTTGTCCGCCCTTTTCGTGGTGTGTTCTTCAACATGGACACCACAGCTGGCACTACCTTGCATCAGATGATGGCCATGATTGAAGCAGCTCAGCCCTATAAGCAGCACTTCCTCGGCTACAAGCTGATCCTGCGCCACGACGGAGCACACTGGAAGAACATTCCTTCGACTCCTACGGAAGCACAACAGAAGATTCGGTCAGCATTTGGACAATGGGAAGAATGGGCTCAACACCCCGTCCACGGAGTTCTATATGGACAAGCATGCCATACACCTCATCCACTACCACACACTCGTGGAACCATTTTGACATGGCTGAAGGGCACCTCTGATTACATCAAGATCCACAAGGAGGATGACAACTCAATGAAGCTCAAAGATGAGTATGGCCAGCGCTGGGAATCTCTTTGCGTCATGTACATCTTCTACTACCCGACCAGCACTGAGATGGCGCCCGCAGAAGCACCTCATCACAAGCTCCCGGGGAGACAGAGAGAGACATCGACTGTGAACTGCCCATGAAGCGTGGCTCAGCCACCACTGATCCTCCGCTACCAGATCCTGATCCCAAGAAGGCCAAGTTCGATGTCGCTCACAACATCACCACGGAGCTGCAGAACCTCCACACTCTGCAGTGGATGATAGATCGCAAGAGATTCTTCCGCCTGCATAATGAGGCTTTCTGGTCAGAGACCTACTATGTGCCCCGATGGTTCAACAAGATCACCAGAGAGATGGTCACACAGAAGAGCCAAATGCTCCACGAAAAGGCCAAGGAGAAAGGTACCTATTTGGTCCACCTGGCCAGTTCGAAGAAGCGCCACTTTTACCTTGACTTGTCCAATGGTGGCCGCTACATGTCTGTCACCGCAGAGGACACGATCTCAGAGACCGATCTGGCAGAGATTTGGCCATTGGTCGAAGAGGCTGATGGAAAGGAGATGGCGCAATTCGTGGAGGAGAAAGCCTTCGCCAAGATCAAGCTTTCTGACGTTGCTGATGGCACCGTGATCATCGACGGCACCTGGGTCAGACGATGGAAGATGAAGCTTGGTAAGCGAATTGTGAAGTCTCGAATGTGCGCCAGAGGTTGTTTCGACCCCCAAAAGGAGCACTTGAGCACGAGGAGCACGACGGCATCTCGCTTGAGTCAAAGGATCTTAATGAGCACCGCAGCTTTGATGCAAGTGGATCCTGAATCATGGGATGTTTCCGGTGCTTTCCTCAAGGGACTCTCCTTTGACAAGATCCGCGAGATCCTGCTCTCCCAAGGCATCAAGACACCCACACGATCTGTGGTGTTGATCCCGCCATACAATTGCTGGCGACACCTGGCTGCTGCTGATTCTCAGTTCCACCTGGAACCTGATGAGATTCCACTTTATGGACTACAATGCCTCAAGCCAGTGTACGGCCTGAATGACGCACCAGTGGCCTGGCAATTGAGTTTGGGAGTGTTTCTGAAAGAGCAGCACGGTCAAGCTTCTTTGTTGGACGACAGTTTCTACTTCTGGAAGGATCCCAAGAAGAGTCCAACACTACGTGCAGCTCTCACCACTCACGTTGATGACCTTGCAGTCGTTGGTGGTGGTAACTTCATGGACGACCTCTACAAGACAATGTGCAAGAAGTTTGGCAAGATCTCCAAAGAAAAGTTGCCATTTCCTCACTGCGGCTGTCTCTACTCCAAGACTAAGGACGGCTACAAGATCGATCAGACTGAATTCGCCACGAAGCTAAAGCCATCCACGAATCCTCCTGGAGATGATGAGAGAGCACTGACCGCATCTGAAGTCACCGACTTGCGCTCAGTTGTTGGAGGCTTGCTATGGCTATGTTCAACACGTTTGGACCTGGTGGCCGACGTGGGAGTACTACAGTCAGCAGTATCTGCTCCTAAGGTGAAGCATCTACGAGCTGCAAATCTCCTGGTCAAGAAGGCAAGCAGTCCCGACCGTGTTCAATTGGGCCTGCACTTTCGCTACTTCCATGGAGCATCCAGCTTCCGCCTTCAGTGCATACATGATGCATCCTCTCCAAGCAAAGGACGCTCCTATGCTCAAGAGGGAGTCATGGTCCTGCTCATGCCCGAATTGCCTCAGCACATCCTCAACCAGGACGAGATCACTTGTGATGATGCAACAACATCACAGCTGAACGGCTATGGGCACCTCCTTTTCGCTCACGGAGGAAAAGCTAAAAGAGTGTCATACTCCACCTCACACGCCGAGACATTGTCGGCAGTGAATGGCTTGGAAGCGAGCAGCATGGTCAGTACTCGACTGACTGAACTTTGGATGGACAAAGCCAAGCCGACCTTGAAGGACCTCACTCAGCACCAAGAAGAAGGCTCACGTTTGTTTCCAGTGGACTCCGCCACAGATTGCAGAGACTTCTATGAGCTGAGCACTGGATCTCGTGCTGTGCCTCAGGACAAGTTGCAGAGGCTCTACATCGCCGCCATCAAGGAGGCACGAGTCACTGGCCGCCCTCGCTACTTCATGCTCATTCCAACTCAGAGCATGTTAGCTGATGCATTGACCAAGCCAATGATAGCACCACAGATGATGGAGTTTTTGAGCTCAGGACACCTCTTCATGAAGAACGAGCCCAAGCATGTAGTGTTGCTTCGCCGCCTTCCTACACTTGAAGACCTTCGAGAAGAAGATTTGTGGAAGAGCGATGACCAGATTGCAAAAGAAGTACATCAAGGATCCAAGATGGCAAAATTGGCATGCCTGACAAGCTTCAAACTAAAGCCATGGATTGCCACTCTGGCAATGACATCATTGATGATGACCACTGTGTCTGCACAAGGTCAAAATGAACCACCAAGGCCAAATGAAAGTTCCAACGACTGGACCTTCCTGATCATGATCTTCGTCACCTATATGGCCCTTCGTTTTGGCGAGTTCCTTGTGACGTCAGGCATTCAAAGCCTTCTGCCTAGAAAGAAAATTGCCAGTCCACCATCTACTCCGCCGAACTGCCCAGCTGGAACACCAAGGACCCTAAATTTAGATGGATCTTCATCGACTTCTTCTACGGAACGACCAAAGCCGAGCTCTATTCCTGCGCCTTCCGCTGCTGTTCCAAAGATGCCTGCACCTGGCAGCCCGATCATCGACTGGTCTGCATCTGGCACGACCGTGTTCAAGCAGCCGCCGCCTGCGCCGCCGACTGAGAGCGCACCTAGCTCAGGCCCTGGCTATGAGCGTGTGTATTTCACCGCCTCCGGTGAATGTTTCCATGTGAATCCGCAATGCGGACACCTTCGTCACCACAATGTGCTCTCAAAGCGCAATTGCAAAGACTGCTCCAGGATCCGAAACGCCAGTGGAGTTTAAAGATTTCCACTGATGTCACTTTTTGTCATGACACCTTTTCACGATCGCAGAGCGCTCTTGAGCTGGTTCAAAAGTCCGTCCTACCGACTACCTCGAACCAAACCCCATACCGGTGGGAAAGCCCACAGTGGTGGTTGCCCACCGCCAGGTCGCGGTTCGCGATCGCAGCTTCCGAAATCAGTAGAAGGGGTGACATGAAACAGGGACGATTTGATGGTTTTGCTGGTCGCACCCAGCCGTGAAAAAACGAGCGACTTCGTTGCTGCAGTTCGGTCCACGCTGTGTTTCCAAGGCGGTATGGATTTGGGCCCGCCGGTCAGGCACCGCCATGAGGGGGGGGGAAAAAAGAGGGAACCTTCAGCCTTCAGCTGGACCTTGATCTACCCATATGAATCTACCCTGTCGCCTTCCTGAGGTTCTTGGAGCTCCCCTTTTGCTGACTATCTAACCCTCCAAGGCATTGGTGCGAGTTACTCGCTCGTTCCGAACGGAACATGGCACGTTCCCGCCCCACACGTGGCACCTCAAAAAGTGGACGGACAAGTGGGGGAAGTTAGATGTGGACCTTTTTGGGTTGGTCCGAGAGTCCAAGTTAGGGCGTGGATGTTTGCATGATTTTTCATGATGCCTCCCTGAAAACGAAAAGGGAACATAATGTTTGCAAAGGAACACCCCTCCAAAAAATCAAGCAATACCAAACCTCTCTCTTTTGACATGGGGAAGTGCACTTCTTGTTCTTCTTGAGAGAGTGGCACCCAACCGACCAGATGGGCAGACGATCCATAAAATTCAGTAAATAAACGTTGACAACAATCTATATAAAAATACACGGAAACACGTTTTCGTTTTTCTTTTCCAGTAAATCTATGTAAATATACACTGAAGAGCGTTGACAAAGCAGCACACATCAAGTCGACCCCATGCAATGAACCCATGTGCTTCCAACAGGGTTTTTGTGCTCATGTAGCTCACGGAGGTGTTTCGCTGGAGGTGTTCCCCCCCTCTCAGAAGGAGAGCTTTTCCCCCATCCACTTGTTTGTGGGACATTCGTGGATGAGGACGTGTTTGAAACACCCCAGAGTTTCCAAGAGTCTTTGTGCGATGTGGAACCCACGGGGCATTCACTGAAGAAACCTCAAGAACATCTGACGTATATCTAACCGATTAATGTATATATATATATATATCGATATATATATATATTATATTCTCTTGTGCAAGGATCATTGAACTTCTTCTCTCAAAGCCTTCCATGTTGAACCGGACGCTGCGGCTGCAGGGGCCATGAAGTTCCGCCACAGGCAGGAGGAAGACAGAACCAGACACGAGAAGACCAGTCAGAAGGGTCTGTATTCCAAGTCTGTTCCAGCTGGTGGTGCTGAGACCCATTGCCCTACCATTCCCATCCCTGCTACCAGTCATTCTGACAGAATCTGACAGATGAATCCAAGCATCCGACTCTGACGGCCGGCTCTGGTGGACCTCGTGGTGTCGATTCGCGGTGATCGGACCTCGTCTGTTTCGGGTTTGCCATGCGCATCAGGCCGCACAGGACGACTCATGCCAACCAGTTCACTTTATCATGGGCATCCGTGGACGAGTTGACTGGCAGATATGATGGTGGACGATTTGACCAGTTGTTGGACGAGCACCCACTCCATACCGTTTTCTAACTTGGGCTTGCTTTTCCACTCAGAGTGGATGGGTTTGTCTAGCTGCTTGATGAAACCACTTCCTACAGGTGGACCCTTGGCCATCCGAATGGATGTCTCAGGCGCAGTTGGATGGATCACTGGCCGCTCCATCGGCCTTGCAGCAACTTTGGCTTGACCCCCTCCACGCGTGGCCCGCTGCACAGACACCGCCTGCCATGTCCAAGAAGTCACCGGGAGACTTCATCAAGCAGGTGAGTTGGGCTTGGATTACTTGGACCGAGTACATTGGGCTTTTTGACCCCCCACCCACCCGGATACGTGAACACTTACGGATTTCGAGGCAGAAGAATCAGGAGTGGGCGGCTTGCAAATACCACCTTGGCATGTTTCAACGACAAATTGCCAACGGTTCAAGGAAAAGCCTTGGTTTGTGGCCAAGCCCAGGGTTTGGCACCCGGCGTGGCACCAATTTTGTGGTACCCGTTGTAGGTGCTGGGGCGCCCTGTCATCGTGAAGCTGAATAATGGTGCTGACTACCGGGGGATCTTGACGTGCCTGGACGGTTCCTCAGCAACGAAAGCGAGAGGGGCGGATTTCGGCAGGTTGGAGGAAGAACCAGTGATATCCAGCAACATCCCGGTTTGTGTTCCGCGTAGGTTTGTATTATCCGGAGGATTCTCGGAGAGGAGTCCTGAAATTTCCTTAATTTCCTGTTCCCAATCTCTTAACTGTTTCTCCTCTTGGGGATTGATCTACTTTAGGTCTCCAGTCTCCAGTACCTTCATATATATATATATATACCAGGCCCCCTAAGGGGTGGTTATTGGATACCCCGAATCACCTCTAAGGAGCTATAATTGGACACCCAATATGGGGGGCGGAGATTGCCAGGGATGGACGATGCCCATTGTCCACGTCATGACCATCCACTGGGGCCATCACTTTCTCCAGCGCCTCCCAGGCTACATGAACCTCGCCATGGAGAAGACGGAGGAGTATGTGGACGGCGAGCTGAAGCATAAGTATGGAGACACTTTCATTCGTGCCTTTGCAGTGCAGAGCAAGCGGTTTTCTGTTTTGGTGCGATGTGAGTTCGGGATTTCTTTTTCAAGACCCTTGACTTTTAAAAGGAACCATTTCGGCAGCAGGGCTCATTTCGGCAGCAGGGCTGACACTTAAGAGAAACAGCAGTCGTAGCAGGCAATAGACATTGGAAAAAGTATAGTTCAGATTTCGTGGCGCTGGAGGGGGTTGGGGGGAGGTGCAGCGCCTTCTTTTTGTCCAGAGCGAGCCAAAGTGAAAAGATATCAAAAGCAACCAGACAAAACATACAGTCGGTTTGGAAGAAGGCACATGTATTGACTAGACAGATGCTGCCTACAACAGCAAAAGGGGCAAAATCAATCTAAGCGACAACGGGACAAAGCAACAAATGCAACACATATACCCAACTTGGAAAGCACACGGCGCAACCCAAATTCACGGAGAACAACAAAAGGCAACAAAAGCAACAGAAGCGACAAAATCAACAGGAGCACACAAGCAACAAGAGCAGACAAGCAAAGGCAGCAAAAGCAAAAGCAAGCACCAAACGCGAAAAAGCACAAACAAACAAACAAACAAACAAACAAACAAAAGCAGCAACAAAAGCACATCTGAAAAAGAAGACACCATCCCTAAAAAGATGCGCAGGGCCAGATTCTGGTTTCGATTGGAGGTTTCTTGACCCGCCTGGGATCAGCATCCGAGGTGGCAACAACGTGCTCTATATCAGTCAGCAGCCGAAAAAGTGAGGCCTGAGAGTCTGTCCTCCCAAGAGGTGGTTGCCACTGAGTGTTTTCGACACGGCCTTTCAAGAAATGAAGATGAATGGAGCATCAATCCATCTGAGATACGTTGCTTCATCCCATTTTGCCACATTAGCTCAAGGCGCATCCCGGCGCACCCTGGCGTCCTCTGAATCCAGGAAAGAAGACCATCCCCAATGGTACCCCTTGGCTAAACACCTAGGGGCTGGAGCCACTTGTTTTAGCCACAAATGGTTTTCATCTTGGCTGATGCTAGGGAGGTCAGTCCAGCAAGTTTTCAACCACTCGTGATTGATCCGCTTTTTTGTATGTCCAGCTAAGCTACTTAAGCTTTGTAGCCACTCGGGTTGCAACCAGCCTGAAGATCTGAGCACTCGTTCCTGTACCAAGTAAGTCTGCCATCGATGGTCGCCCCACAGGCCGCGCGGGCGAGAGCCGAAGAGTCTGAGTAGAGCAGCGGTGGAGCACGGTTCCGCGCGGTTTCGTGGACACGAAAAAGAGCATGGACGATCCGGAAAGCCGGCTAGATAGAGTCTGGCTAGAGTCATGTAGACGCACAGATGGAGGAGTGATATATAAAACCTCATGTAGTCGTGAGAGTGATTTTGAGTGGATTTTGGGAAGCAAAACTATTCCTAGTGACCGAACTTGATCACCTGGTTGGTTTGGTCACAGAAAAAGCCTCTTGTTTAGGCCACGAAAAGGAACCTTCAAAAGGTCACGAACTGAAGAAGCTGGTTTTGGTCTTTCATGCTGTAAACAATGGGTGACTGCCGGTCATTGGCTCCTTGGCCCCCGCAGCTTCTACTGTGCGGCCCAGTTCGGTTGAAGAACCCGACGGTGGGACGATTTTAGGTCAGTACTGTGGGTTTTCCGGGTCCTAGTTCAGGTCACTTACATAACTCTTTTGGCAAGCAAGGAAATTAGACATGGAAGATCATGGAACAACACAAGAAATAACACCGACAACATACCAAGTTCCCAACGATTGTCAGGTTCCTGGAGTGGTCTGGAGTGGGAGTGGTCGCGGGGGGCGCGTGAGTGAGTCTTCGGGTGTGTGCCCGTACGTGGCTGAACTGGAGGCCCTTAAAGGACGAAGCCTCCTGGTCACTTCCTTTATCGCTCCTTAGTCAACCAGAGCGCATTTTGCCACCCGTATGCTGCTGGGATCCTCGACCATCGGGACTGCATTGGATGAAGGGTTCTGTTTGTGCAGGTGTGGCGAACACCACTCCGCCTTGGGCTTTGGTTGTGGCTTTTTCTGGCTGCGTTGGTCGGGGCCTTGGTAGGAAACATGACACGAACATCATGAGCCTATATGAAGGGCCCCTAGTAGCTTAGTAGCTTCTTGTTCCTAGTAGTAAGGCCAGGAGCCGTTCGTAGCGTCCTTGCTCCTAGGCCTATAGGGGCGATGCCAGCCCCTAGTAGCTTGAGGGTTGTATACCTGGAGCTTCTCAGGGATAATTGCAGTGTGGTTTCTGGGAGGGTGCCCGGCAGAACGAGCTTTCTCGGCCGAACGAGCGGCCTCGAACGAGCGGCTTTCCGGTCGCAAGACTCACCGGTCTCCGTGCGTTCGTGCTGCATTGAGAGTGAGGACGGGCGCCCCCAAAAATGTGTTTGAAGTTCGGGAATCAACTGGGAATCGATTGGGCATCAACTTGACCAAGTTCTTCTCCAAGAAGTACTTGCCTATGGAGGTGTCCAGGGCTGCGGACTCAGACAACCCAGATGACTGCAGTTTGGGGCGGCTCTGGAGGTTAGTGGCTGGTCAGCACATATATGGCTGGTCAGCATCCCTGGCATAACCCGTTTTTATGGGTCCTGGCCCGTTGTGATGTGATGGTGCCATCTACCTGATCTCTCTCTATATGCATATGCATATGTTCTGAACCTCTTTGACCATGGGCTGGCGGCAACGGCTATCACGGCGACCCACCCAACAACTTTTCATATTTTTGAGTCAGCCATTGTGTGGACTGATGCAAGGCCTCATCAATTCCAGAACCGTAGCTGTTGTTTTGGCCCTTTGCTTATCGTTTAGCGGAGACCTTTCTTGGGCAATGGCGCAGAACTTGGATCTGATCCGACAGGAAGTCATGGGTGAAGAAGTTCTTCACGATGGTTTTCAGGTTTGACCCTAAGTGTCGCCCCCCCTCGCCTCCAGACCGCGCACGGTGCGACGAGGCCTTCCTCTGAGTGCCACCCAAGTGCCACTCTAGGACTTCCTCTGAGTGTCACTCACTTGAGGTGCTCTCCCGGATCTTCTTTTGGCCCACCATGCCCTTGACCCTCTTCCGGAGCTGGTTAGATGGACGTGGGCTTTGGTGCCAGGCCTGGAGCGGACGCGGGAAGTTGGGTCCATGATCGGATGAGAGCTATCTCTGTTTGAGACTGAGGTTGTACTGTAGACAGTAGACACCATAGGGTCTGCAACCTTGGATTGGACAAGGTTCGAATTCTTACTTCCAGCTTCGGTTCGTTCTGGCAGCCCTGACCGTCGGCCGCCTTCGCTCCCAGGTGGACGAGACCGTCTATCTAGGTTCGGCCCGGCCGGGAATTCGCAGAGTTCATATTGACCAGTTTCTCGAAACATCCGGTCCTGAACTTCTGAACTCCTGTGTGTCCACCAGAAAGTGGTTCAGACCCGCAGAACCTCTCATACCCTCTCTGCACTTTCGTACCAACCAGCGGTAGATGATCAATGCTGATGGTTTTGAGCTTCTGAACGTCAGCTCCGCGACTCCTCGGTGCTTTTGGGGTGCTGTATTCAGTGGTCAAGCTTTGAGGTGAACATTCAGTGGTCATGGGTCATGGGTCGTTGCACAACTTGAGCATCTCTGAGCTATGGCCACCAGATGCAACCAGTAAGAGGAAGGCTGTGAGACAGAACTCCATGGTTTTTGCAGATGTTTTCATCTATGCAGCCCACTGAAACCGCAGACAGGTTTCCTCCCGCGGTTCCTCAGCCTCAAACAGACAGTTTTGTAGGACTTCGTCTCTTTCTTAGACTTTTGTCGGTTTGGACTGCCAGATGATTCACAATTTGGCTCGTGAAGCTCGGTCATCGGCCGCGGACGAATGATGGAGCAGACATCGCCAACGACCAGCATCAAGTCCGGGGTTTTGTGATGCCCGCAAGTCACAAAGAAAGATCTGCTTATCAGGTGTTTCCATGTCATTGAAGGTTGGTTCCTCTCTCTTTTTTCGGGGTCGCTGAGAGGCAGGTGGTCCAAAGAATTCCACGCCCTTAGGCCTCCATGGGATCGCCCTATGCCCACCGGGCTTCTTCGGGGCGGGCACCCGATTCCAGAGACCGAAGGCACTCAGACGGTGGGTGGTGAACCCCCCCAAAAACCACCAGCCGCTCCACTAGCGAAACCGCTGAAAAGCCGTTTTTTGGATCTAACACCCTCAGAACGTTCTGGCTATCCCCTTTGTCCTGCCCAATTGCCAATTGCCGGGCAGCACCGGGTGGGGCGACTGCCAATGCGCGGAGCCATAGGAGCGGAGCCATGGCGAGGGCCTTGACGTAAGGATGCTGTTGCTCGGTGTCTTGGGCACCGTCTTCGGGCTGCTGCTCTCCCGAAGCCGGGAGGCGCTTCCGGGGGTCGCTCCACGGGACGCGCGGGCGCGGGTTTTGGGGCGTAGAAGCACGGGATGCAGGAAGGGAGGGGAGGGGGAGGGGTGATGGCGCAGTTGAACGAAACGAGATCAATTCATTGGGAAGATTGGAGTTCTATGGCTTTGCATGGATGCGACACTGCCATGTGAAGATATATATATATATATTATTTTTTGAAATGTAAGAAGATCTACAAACGTGCTCTCGCGGGAAGCCGCTTGCTTTGGCTTCACATCTTGGATTGACCCTGGCCCATTGTGGGACTCTTTAGGTCCTTTCTCCGAGTCGGGCTGGGTCTGCCCTGCACGTTGCCCCCATGTGGCAAGATCTGAAGATGTGGCGAGAAAGCAATGGCCCCCTGAAGCTTTCGGTGTTTCTTTCGTCAACTCTGTGTACAACAACCTCCTGGCTTCCAAACTAAAGCAAGGTGTCCTGGTTTTCCAGCACGGCTGTTGGTCGATTCGTTCTTTGTTTGGGGCCATTTTCCTCCTCACACTCATGCTGGTGAAGGACGAGATCTCACCCTCGAAACAGTTGTTTTCATCCTCATGGCGGGGATTTCCCCTCAATCATCCGATTTTAATTTTTGATCACCCACACATCTCACACCGAAGAAATAACAAAGGGACCCATGGCTGCACGAACTTGCGGACTGTCATCGACGCACGCGCCCACACATACCCTTGCTAGGTTTTCTAGCGGGTGTTGATGGGACAGTAAATGTGAGACATCAAGAACCATGGAACCAAACTAGAACAAAGGGACCCATGGCAAGTTGGGCTGGTCTTGTTGCGAGGTGGCCGATCTGGCCAGCAGCATCTTTGGCTCCTTTGTGGCGGTCACCGGAGATGCACACCAAGCCAAGGTGGCACAGGAGAGGTGGGGAAGTCATGGGGGACGTCTGAAGAACCCTGCGGAGAATGTGGTGGTTCAGGAACTGGGGGGCTTCGTCCCGGAATCCACCCTGTTGGAATGTTCCTCCTATCCTCCTAGATAGCCTTCATAGCCCCTTGTGTGTTCGGGGGTCCGAGTCCCAGGTCACTCACTCCTACTCGACTCATTCTCATGTCATACTTGACCACCCAGGTATGGACTTTTCAGGAAGGATTTGGAACACAGGTCACTTTGAGCAGGTCCTGAACCTCTAAGATGTCTCAAGGCCATACCAGTGCGAAAAAGTGTCAGAAAAGACTGAGTCGGCGGACTCCGCCACACTCCACTAGGAAGGGACCTTCCGCTGACAGCTGCTGTGATTCAACAGGGCAAGGTCCTGGCGTATGGACTTTCCTTTGGGGGCCTGAGGGGGGGGACATCCCCTGGTTGTTTTAATGCTGTCAACATATAGAGACCTTTGGAGGCCTCCCGTTTCCAAAACGCACCGACTCGCACCTCGCTGGAGCAGTTCGGGGGAACGCGCCAAAGCTTCCAGGACATCTTTCGACAGCAAGTCCGGTGACCTGGCGCACCTGGCAACCTCGCAACCTCCCACTCACTATGGCCCCAAACCTCCTGGTGAAAACAGGGATCAAATGGGCGACACACGGCAACTGATTTTTTCGTATGTCAGCTGACAGCTGTCTGACAGCTGTTGAAATGGAGCAACGACATAAGCCAAACACCTTCTTCCCTGATTCATGAGCTGATGTCCGCGCAACTTGGGGCGGAGGTATGAGCGTTCCATTCAGATTCGGGAAGACATGCGCGACGTCAACAAGCTGATGATGGAAAGCGTGCAGACACATGTCATTATGGGCAGCATCATCCTGGGCGTTTGCTGGAACATGTGCATCGAGGGCTTTCCACCTGAGGAGGCCGTGCAAACTGTTCGAGATACGGATAGATACGGATTCCACTCCTTGAAACCATCATTGAATTGAGGCGGAGTTCACGTCATCCGTATTCGTATTCGGAGAACGTCATCCGTATGGGGCCATCCGTAAGTAAGTGGATGGCATGGTCCCGAAACGAAGGACGACCTTCTTTTTAACTTGGGAGGGGGCAGTGGGCTTTGCTGTGCCCACTGCTCCGACTGGGTGCCATCCACTTCCATGTGGTTTTCGTCGTTCGTATCCTTGGGACGGTCACTCAGCCAACGAGAAGCACGGACGGTCACCGCCTGTGATGGTCTATCACCACGGGGTCACCGGTGGACCGGTGGGCACGATGGGTGTCCGGAAAAGGAGAGGTGTTCGGTAGCTGCAGGTTTTACCAGGTCTTTTCTCGTGGTCACGTGGGTGACATGAACTTCTTTTTGAATATATTTATAGATATACGGTACTGTAGTTGCATGAATTGCAGAGACGTCATTGGATCACTTTTGGTTTTGAGGCACGATTCGTGCGCAGCTTTCCAACCAGCTTGCAGCATGACAGTATGGACGTTCGTTGCAAGTTGATGTGAGATTTAACTTGACCATTGTAGCTCACAGCTCAAGGCCCACACAAATATGACCCATTGAGAGCAGGAAGGCCCACGTTTTTTTCTTCCTCATCACGCAAGTAGACATCAGAAATCATCCATGACCCCAAATCCAACACAACTTCTCCAAGACAACTTCGAACTCACTCCACCTGGAAGTCCACTGACCTCACTCCAGCCAAACGACGCCGCCCCGTGCCTGCGGTCGCGTCCTCGGCCGCGGAACCGGCGCGGAGTCCCGTCCTCTCCCCGTGCTCGGCCAGTCGGAGCGCACCGTGGTGGGGCTGTGGTTGGTCTTCACCTGCTGGGCAGTGACCTTCACCCTGCGCCTCGGAGCCGATCTCGGTGGGTTGGTGACTTAGAGTGATTGGACCACTTATTGTGACTTACCAGGATCCAAGGGGTGTCCTGGCTGGACTACCCCACACTACCTGTAGGCTTATTGTGACTTAGAGCTACTTAGAGTGGTTAAGAGTGATGAGGTTCAGGTTATAGGGTTCCAATTGGACAGTGAACATGGATGAACATGGCTGATTTTTTGCGTCTACCTCAAAGTTTGGTGAAATCTCAGTGAAAGAACCCAGAAGATGATCAATCGAAACTGGATGTTCGAGTTTTCTGGCTGACAGATCTTGTTTTTGATGATCATTTGATGTTTATTTGGTTGATACTGATGGTGGCAAGCGACCGTTGACAGGCAGGCCGCTGCATGGATAGTGAAAATACAATGTTTTTCAACATGTTTATGCACACCGCTTGAGGCATCCCGTGGCTTGAACACAAACATGTCCAGGGTTGGTTTAAATCTGTTCACACATGTTCGGTGCAGGACCCTTTCCACCCAGTTTCTCGGAAAATTTTGTTGTCCAGCATCACCAAGGAGCACCGACACCGGGTTTGGGCGGTCAAACCCGGACACAACCGCTCTCCCTTCGGGCAGTTCGCGCTCAGGATTGCCCTTTGGTTGGCGCTTCGCTTCCAGATGAAGATGTCCTCCAGCGCGCGTGACCGGCTGCTACGACGCCACAGGACGGGGAAGTCCGCGCGAGGTCGCCCGGGTTCCTTATGGTCGAGTTGTCTAGACCCTGGGGCTCCTGGCCCATATCCTCAGGTTCGGTGGTTAGACCCCCTGGCACCCTAACCACCTTCTCAGAAGGCAGTTGGAGCCCTGAGGGTTCTAAGGAGACATGGAGATCAGTTGAGATCATAGATGGTCTTCGGTGGCCGAAATGGATTAGGTTTGGGAGCTGAAGCTCATCAGTCTGTTGAGAGATCATGAAGGTTCGTTTTGGGCTTTATAGCTTCTGATTCTTGTTACTAGTAGTAAGGCCAGGAGCCCCTGGTAGCGTCCTTGCTCCTAGTAGTAAGGCCAGGAGCCCCTAGTAGCGTCCTTGCTCCTAGTAGTAAAGCCAAGAGCCCCTAGTAGCGTCCTTCATCCTAGGAGCGATGCCAGGAGCTGCTAGGGCGTTCATTTTGTTTTGGGGACTCTCTGTCAAGCAGCTTTTCGGAGCGTGACCCCCTTAAGCTGTACTCACAGCGTATACGGTGAAGTCCATACCCAGATCACGACCTGTCTGGGACTGCCATAGGACTGCCGATCAGTTGGGGTGGTTTTGGGGGTCAATCGGGCGGCATATAACTATGGCAGCCCCATCGGTCGTGTCTGGGATCTGCAAATGGTCAGAAATCCCCACTCCGCCTCCAAGCAGAAGGTGCACCTCGCCCACGAATCCCAGCAGAAGCGGAAGACATGAGATTGGACCCCTTGTTACACTCCTTGATCCCAAAATCCATGGGAAGTGAAGGTGAGTTCACCATTCACCCTCGTGGCCGTCCCCCATGGTGACGTCACCAGGGAGTGTCGACCCCTCATGGGCCCATGGCCGTCCACCCACCGGTACGACCGGTCACCGACGAAGAGCGCCAGGCTGATGGTGCCTGATGACCTGGTGGTGGGCCGCATGGGTGGCCATAACGTGGTGAACCATGTGGCCAACTTCCACAGCTGGATGCTGCATGGCCCCAGCGTCGGGCGTAGTGGTGTGGGAGCCGTTTTCGGTTCGTTTCGACAGCCCGGTGACGCGGGGTTGGCTTTCTTCGGGTTTTTTGAGATCAACATGGCCCGGTGAGAAGGAGAGGATGGGGGGTGTATTGGGGGTGGTAGGTAGAAGATGGTAGAATGGTGTCCTCAAAGTGACTTCTCTTGATGAGGAGGCGGTGTTGGAATGAGGGGGTCACTACAACTCTACCAGGAACATTGCGGGTTCACATGGCCTGTTCAGCAGCTTAGCCTGGAGCCTTGAGGAATCTCCAGTGGTTTAGCACACATTTTGATGCACAAGCTGTTTCCTCAATGTGTTTCTACCAAATCTATTGATGTCCCAACCATTTTCAGGACTTAAGATGCTTAAATAGCTTCCTTCAACTTCATGAAGAGGTCATAAGAAGAAAATCCCAGGTCAATATGGGGTGTTTGCGTTTATAGTTTTTTCCTCACTCCAGGCTATCCACCATCAACAGCATGACCACCAATGAGCCAAAGGATGAGGAAGAGCAGGTGACACGGATCGCGGCGGGAGCGGCTCGAGCGCGGCCAATCGTCGATGGCGAAGACGAAGAGAAGCGAAGTGATCCCCACGAATGGGTCATATATAGCTTAACCCTAGGGGTCCACTGCCACCTTCTCAGGAGGTACGACTGGGCCCTCCTGGCGCCTACATAAATAGTCTCCGTCCTCACCTTCTGAGAAGCTACTTGGATTTCTAAGGTAGAAAAGGAACTTGAAAACCCCCTGGATGAAGCCGTGGGGAAACCACGGAGGTAGTGTATCGAACAAAGACATCGCCCATCGCTAGCAGAACGCTGAAGTTCGACCAGAGGGGTTGGAAGTCGATTGAGTGGCCAAACGTGTCCACCTCCACAGGTGCCTCTCGAGACTTGGACTCTCCTTTCCCCTCCCGCCCATTTGCTACCTTTCGTTCACCCCCGCCTACAAATTCACATGGACCCTGATAACAACCACTGGGTGGTAGGTGAGAATTGTCTTGCAGGAGTCCATTTTCACGGTCCATGTTCATCTGCGGGGGGGGTAAGGCATATGTCCAACACCATGAGGCAACTTGTGATATTTCTGAGATTGTCGTACGAGATCCTATTTGGATCTATTTGGGAGAACTCCTCCCCAGCCCCATACGAAACCTTGTTGTTTCACTGCAGCAACTACGTGCATGAGAATTCTTTCTTCACCCGCCGTTTCGTTTCATGGTTTGTCCAGCTGGTTCACGTGTGACATCAATCTCCTCAAACCCGCCCAAAAACACAAGACACTCCAAAATCGCGATCCTTCCCGGGGGGTCGCGGCGGGCACCAAGCATTTTCGCCTGCAGGTTGTGAGAGCTCGCAGACGTCATCAGAATCTTCGGGTGCACGTCGAAGCCTTAGAGTTGACCACACCCATTGATGCAGAGCCGCTGCGGAAAGGAATGCATGCCTGGCTGCATTCGGACTCCGGACAGGAGAGCGAGCCCTTTGGTTTTGGTCATTTTGGTCAGCTTGAGTGTGAAAACGACAAGTCTAGGACCTAGGAACGTGCAATAAATGTTTTGAGCCATATATGATTCAACATGTATCATATATCAATTTATCTATATGTATATAACATGCAATTTTTGACTGCAGAGTTTCCTGTGGGGTGTATTGATTGGTTTCAACTGGTTCGACGGCCTAAAAAGACGTCTATTTCCCAATCTGTTCCCAGCTAGTTCTAGTGACAGCTTAAGTGCGACCATGTCTGTGGGGCTGTTTGGTGAAGTTCTGCACTGCCACAGCTTCATCCGGAAACCGTGGGACCGACCTGTGGGGCGTGACCTGTGGACCCGAGTGCCGCCTGGCCATATTCGCACGTGTTATGCGCATAGGTTCTATGGACTGCATAGGTGATGTGCATAGGTGATGTGGTCTTCACAGATCAGAGACGTAGATAGAGACCTGGTCTCAAACCTCGATTTGGGCCATGGCGGTCGCTTTTTTCGCAGGAGAGGTCCTGGTCCCATCACACCTTGCTGGACATCCCGTTCTTCCTGACCGGAGAGACCTTGATCCGTTCACCCTGGAACTTCAAAGGGGATCGCATCTTGGCGCTGCGGGTTTACGGAGAGTCCACCTTGTATGTGGCAGCTCAGTGCCCTCCTTTGGGCACTGGAAAGAAGGAGAACGCCACCAGTCACTTGGAACAATACTGGTAGAGGCTGCCGCTGTTGGCCTGGTGCAGTAGTAGGAGGTACGGTGTCGCCAAGTGAGCTGTAGCTCACTTGGTGGGGGTTGGGGGGAAGAACATGTAGAAACCAGAAGGGCTGCCGCATGGTACTCGGCACAGACGACATCTTTTCAACTTGGCTGGGACAGCCAGAAAGCTCCAAGGCCAGCATGGCTTGCGCAAAGCTCTGTGGCTGGCTGGGCAAGTGCCTGATTGGCCTGCAGACGAATTGCCACAAGCCCTTCACGGGTTCCATGAAGATTGGTGTGGTGAGAATGGCTATGGAGAATTTCGACGGGTGGAGGGGTTTTCAATGTACGTTGATCGCAACGAAGCTCGGCGCAGGTGAAGGATGTTGTTTGTGGTTCCGTGACCATCCCAGAACCCCCGTCCAAGAGTGAAAGGTTGCAGTTTTAAATCCAAGAAGCGCCGAGGATATTGAGATGCCGCTGTACAAATTGGTACTGGCAGACCCCAAGCAGAAAGATTTCGTTGATGTCGTGATACGATGGAATTTTAAGGCTGGTTGTGAGGCATTGGTGGTGGTTGCACGCCAAGGGCAGGTTCACTGCAAAGAGGAGGATTGGCCCCTTGCGGAGTTCAATGCCGAGGTCAAAGAGGTCCTAAACCTCCGACGCTACTCCGGGCTTTTCCTACGACATGGCACCTCATGCTTGGTGATGGCCTGCTGTGTCTTGTACGTCGCCCGCATGAGTGTCTTGCTGCAGAGCCAGAGGCTTTGGTGGTACGAGCCCGTCTTAGTGGCCATCGCCATGCTGCCCTCCATCGTGGCCATCGGCATCATGCCGCTGGACGTCTGGGAGAAGGAGACCCTCTTCGCCGACCGACGGGGGAAAGCCCAGCTTGAAGAGGTGAATGTGGTCACCCCCAAGTCCTCACCCATCGCGGCACCACGCAGCGAGCTGGGTGCCCCGCGGCAGGGGGAGGCGGTTTCGCCCTCGGTGAGTCGGACGTCGACCGGGTTGCAGGGCCCAGCGCGAATCTTGTTGGAGGATGGTCTGAGCTCATCACCAGGCTTGACCTTACCTGGCATCGAGCAGCGAAGAAGCCGCATGAGATCTCAGTCGGCTCCGCCCAAAGAAAGACCTATGGTTCGGAGGTTGGAGAATTGCTGCACCGAGATGCGGATCGGCTTGGAGAATTGTCAGGTGATGGGCTCGGTGAAGAGCATACCGCATGCCAGCATTGTCATCATCAAACTTGTTTTGATATGTTCTTGAGGAGCTTGTAGGTTTAGTGTAGAGTGTAGATGCTACATGGGCCACCCCTTTCACCCCTTGAGGACATGCCGTTGTGCCCCAAAACACTATCGTTTCCCTGGGCTTCCCCACTGCTTGGTGGTCTTGCCCTTCAGGTCGTTGCGCACGACCGGGAGCAGTTGACGATCCGCAATCTCCGCCAGCAGGCGGCACCTCCGCCCGAGCCACCGCCTCCCTTGCCGTCAGGTGACGCGCATGAGATTCTCTGGTCGGGCTCCCCGGTGGGGGTGAGCAGCGGAGATGGAGGCCAGGTGGGTACATGACATTCGTTGAAAAGGTTCAGACGTTTTACAGGCGCAAAAGGATGACATGACCCAAACGGTTTTTTGGCACCTTTTGAGTCACAGAGCTCAAAGTCCCACGTTTCAACTGCTTCGCTGGACGGCCCTGGCAGGTGGAAATCCTGAGGGTTTGGGGATTTGGGGCGAGGACAAGGCCGAACAATTAGCCTTGCAGATTGCCAAGAGCGCCAGCAGTGAGTCGGAGAAGAGGAGGCGTCGATTTTCCTGCCCCAAGTGGCCCACTTGGACAGTGATTAAATACATTGTGCAATAGTGTGCACATGCTTTTGTACGCTTTCGAGGGTGTTTAAGACAGCTCGGTTTTAGGAGCCAAGTGACATAATATGACATAATTATTCTTTCAGTAGATTAGTTGCATGACCTTGTCTTTCAGTCGCCTGCAAACTCAGGTGGGGCTATGCTTCGGGCTTAATCCTTGGGGCTCGACTGTTGGAGCTGCTCTTGGCCCTCTCAGCCTTATCGGTTTTGATTACCTCTCCGGCCATTCTGGGGAGTGCCACCCCCATTTCTTCGGGGGAGGGAAGAAGCGTGGAGTGGAGGCTCGAGCCCAGTACGTGGCCGGCCTTGTTTCCCGACAGCACGTGGCTCTTTGGCCTCTCGATTGGCCTCTCGAACCGCTCGGGGTCACCCAGGGGTGCCGATTCTCCACCCACTTGGGGAACTCAAAAGCAACTCCATGTGACTCCTGGGCACCTCTTAGAACTTGGTGGCCTTGGTCGACCGACGGCTCCGAGGTTCCGCCCCAGCGCCGCGCTGCTCCGTGGGCCAACGCTGTTGGTGGCGGCGGGGCCGCTGCTCCGCAGCTTCGGCGTGTCCGGCGGCCGCTGGGCGCCCTTGGGGGAACCCCGCTTGCTGCCTGGGGCGGTGCTCGGCCTGGTGAGCTGGGAGGGCCAGGCCAGATGCTGGCGGTGACGGGGACGGAACGGGACGGTGACGACTGGTGCCCGAGAGGTGCTTTTGGGAGGGGAGGTTGGTTAGTTTGGGCTAGTTCGGCTGCGCTGCGTGCGCTGCTCGGCTTTGGATCCAGCAAACTCGGACACAGCATACTTTGCAGCACCTTTCTCATCTGAATGCTTTTTATTCCCCAAACAGGTTTACTTGTGGGTTTTTTTTACTCCTTTTAAAGGGGTGCATGCTCGGGCCGGATGATTTTGAGTTTGTCTCCGGGCTTGTGTTCCAGGCCGTATGATTTCATCCTTGTCTCCCACTTGTTTCCCACTTGTCTCCCAGTAAGCTCTGGATGCTCTCAGTGCTCTGGCCGCATGATTTCACACTTGTCTGCCATTTGTCTCCCATTTGTTTCCCACTTGTCTCCCAGTAAGCTCTG